GGTTATAACCCCCCTAACCCCTGTGTAAATTACGCGGGTGTCTGTTACACAGTTTACCTCTTCATAAACAGATCACTGGATGGTTGAGAATTATGACCCCCACTTTGCGAAGCGGGGGGTCATACTGTTTTTGCACTATTTTTAGAATTTAATTCTATTTTTAGAGATTTTTGTTTAACCGTAGCACAGAAACGGCTGCACCTAGCAGCATGAAATTTGGTAGGAGTGTAGAAGTGACACTTCTACACTGCACTAGCACCAGTTTTGCAATAGACCCTATACTGGGGTCGTCATCTGAAAAGTTGTTTGCTGGATATAAAAAAAGGCTTATAGCACAAACATCAGTCCTTCACTAACCCAATCCCATGATTCATTATGGGTCAAGGCCCACTGTGCAAAAGGAAATGCAGATAAATCTGCCAGTAAATTTTGATATACTTTACATAAAAAGAAAGTAACTTTAAGTAAGTTTTTACGCAGGAATATCACACTGCAGAAGTCAAATATTTACTCGCGTTATAAATATTTTGCTCAATTGCAATTTTGCCTTAACATTTTGTGAGAAGTCCATTCTCACTACTGCCCAACGGAACGCCTGACTCTTTGTTTCAGCCACGATCATCTTCATCCTAGACCAGGGMTTCTCCAGCCATTTGGGTCTGGGGACCCACTTAAAAGGGCAAAAAAATTTCAGGGACCCCCTCATAAACCCCGTGCTGTTTTAAAAGATAGTTTATTGTCATTTCAACCCCTAAATGCCACGGGAATATATATTTTTATTAAGTTCATTATGTTTTTTTAATTAGTTCATTGTGAGCAGCTGATGGAGCGGCTGTGGCGGAGTGGTTAGGGGAGTCATCCTGAAATCGGAAGGTCACTGGTTCCTTCCCCCGTCCAGCTGTTTCAGTCGTTGTGTCCTTGGGCAAGACACTTCACCCGCCTTGCCTACTGATGGTGGTCAGAGGGTCCGGTGGTGCAGGTGCATGGCAGCCTCGCCTCTGTCAGTGTGCCCCAGGGCAGCTGTGGCTGAAGCTCACTGCCATCAGTGTATGCACGGGTGAATGTCTGAAGCGTAAAGCGCCTTGGGGTCCATGTGGACTTGAAAAGGTGCTATAAGTTCAAGCCATTCAAGCCATTGTTCTCCATGCATTTTTTAAAATAAAAAAATTAACAATTACCAGGTAAGTGAATTTTTTTGACCTCCAAGATACCTCTCGTGGACCCCTGGAGGTCCTGGGACCCCAGTTTGAGAATTCCTGTTCTAGGCTCCATCTGCTACAGTATATCTTGCAGGAATATGATGCAATTAGTGTCGTACAGGTGTGATGGAGTGAGTTCAATCCAATAGGATGCCAGAATGGTTTATATTTACACTTCTCATCCAACTACAATCAAATTCACTTCATCTGGATGAATTCCTACTTTTTCTGAACAATGAAAAGATGGAATAAAACATGTCAAAATTAAATAGAAACGAAATACGTTTTGCTTTTTTTAATAGTAAGGAGTAGAAAGTACAGATAATTGAATTAAAATGTAAAAATCAGAAGTAAAAAGTAGGCTGAAAAATATTTACTCCACTAAAATATAAATAATCAAAATTTCTGCTTAATTAAAGTAACAAAGTATTTGTACTTAGTTACTTGACACCTCTGCTCAGAGTTTAATAAAAAAACACCCTGTGTGGCTTTTCCTCGAGGACAGGCCACACGAGGCATTGGATGAAACCAGGCAACTGTTAGGGTTCTATTAAATAAAAAGATGACCTGACCATTTTAAAGTGGGATTCAGGGGAAATGTTTTAAATGTTCAACTTGTCTGTCCATATTTAGAACAAAGACCTGGGCCCATATTTATCAAACTTCTCAGAAATACTGTAATTGATGTGAAGAATGAAGAAAGCATAAGTGTAAAAAAATGTACCAAAGCTGGACTTAAAATTCCGTTAACAAACATCAGAGTCTGACTTTAAGTAAAGTCTAGGACTAAATCTGAAGAGTCTCAGAGCTAATTTATTTTGTTGATCCTGGGTTAAGTATTTAGAAAACCCCAGAGAAGGACCAATCACTGAATCAGATTTTATATTCAAAAATWTTTTCAGAGAAATGTCAAGACAAGATTGTAAAAATTATTAGAAGCATTTTCATGTTTCATTCATTCAAGCTTTTCATGTAACACTATTAAGGAAATACTAATTAACTGAATGTTAGATCTAGTTTTGAATTTTTATACATTCTGATCATTGCAGCCATAAGATTT